GAATGGAGTTCTGGGAACTCGAAGACCACCAAGTGGCCTACAGTTGGCTCCGGGCATCCAAAATGTACGCCGGGGATGGAGTTCTAGCAGCGCCAAGAGCGATTTTGCGAGGATGTCCCAGGCGATTTGGGCTTCGGCGGCAGGCCCCGGGTCCCGCCCCGACCCCCCTGTGGAGTCATCTGCTGCTCTCTTTTGAGACCACTAGAAACCTATCAGCAAAAGCTGTTAGGTAAAAAAAAGGGGGGGGAATGTCCGCCTCGAACACGGGGGGCGGATGCTTCCGCAAAAGTAAGGCGGACACAGCGACGGCAAAGCAGGGCAGAGATCGACATCAAAGGGTCATGCAAAATACGGAGGACTTGTCCGCCCTGCTTACAAAATCGCCCAAAAAGTACGGCGGATCCGGACTCGGGGCAGAGCCCCCCAGGGCTCCTCCAGACGCTCAGGACCCTACAGGATCTCCTCGACCCTTGCCTGACGCTCGACCCTCGATCCTCGGGAGGTGGTGGCGATCCCCCTGGTGGTGAACACCCCTCCCAGGACTCCGACGCCGACTCTTCCAAAAATCCCGACCGCTTCCCCACACCGCCTCCGTTTCTGGCGGCCCCCGAGCCCGACAGCGGCCCCCCGAGGGCCGACGTCGATGCAAACACCAGCCGCCCGAGAAAACCACGCCGTCGGAGCTCTGGCCGCGGCGGTCCCCCTGGTGCGGACCCTCCCTGGCGCTGCCTGCCCCCGCCCGGCCTTGGCGCCCTCCTCCGGCGGCACCTCCGCGGCCAGCTCCACGCCCAGCAGCGCCCTCGGCGGCAGCAGCCCGGCGCCTCGCCAGGACACCACGCGCTCACGCAGCCGAGCCCGAAGCGCCTCGTCCGCGTGGCCGCAGGCCAGCCGCACCGCGTCGGGGAGCCGCTCCGCGAGGTGGGCCGCGAGGTCCCCCGGCCCGCCGTCAGGCGGCTTGGCGCTGCCCGCCCCCGCGAGCATCTGGCCCACGACCTGGGCGAGGGCGTCGACCTGTGAGCACGCATCTCGCCGATCCTTCTGCCCGCGGGCGTGGCCCTGGCCCCCCACTGGCCGACTTGCCCAACTGGGCGGAGGGGAACTCTTCGGGACAGGCTCAGGGCTCCTTGACGCCTGGGGGCCGCAACGTGGACAGCGTCTCGCGCCGCAGCGTGGTGGGCCAAACTGGCGGAGCGACACGCCGAGCCAAAGTTCCTGCCGCTGCCCCCACGCAGGAGGGTGGGCTGGTGGGGCCGAGGTGCCCTGGCCCAGTGGGGGTGGGGAAGGGTCAGAAGATGCTGAACCTGAGCAGAAGATGCTGAACCTGAGCGCCGCGGGCGGACCCCAGGGCATCCGCCGCGATCTGGGCCGCCTCCTCGGGGGCGCCGAGCTCCAGCGCCACGGCGGCGGACACCGCCTCGGACACCGCCTCGGACACCTCCTCTGGAGCCTGCGGCGAGGCCCAGGTCGGTCTAGTCAGCAGACGCTTGAAGTCCTGCAGTTGCCTCTGCAGCGCGGCGTTCTCCGCCGCTACAAGCCTCCGCAGCTTGCCCTCGAGCAGCAGCAGCACCAGACAGCAGCGCTCCAGCGCCTGCGCGGCCCTGGCGGAGCGGCGCTCCTTCTGCGCGCCGATGCGCCGGCACTCGTCTGCGGCGCTCTCGGCGCTCTCGCCGCCGCCCGCCCGGAAGTGGCTGCAGAGCTTCAAGAGCTGCTGCAGCGCCTGCATCCCCACATACATTAGTGGTGCAGGGTTGCCCCCCCCCCCTCCTACCCCCACCCATGCATATGGGATCGAGCCCCCCCCGCCGCTGGATGAGTACGCCCGTGAGCCTCGCGAAGGCCTCGCGAATGGGATCGTTCACCCCTCGTGGTCGTGGCCGTGTGGGCGTGGCGTGGTGGAGGGTGGCGATGAACCCCCCACCCTCTCCCTGATTGTGTGGGGTGGTTTGTCGTCGTCGTCGTCGTCGTCGTCGTCGTCGTCGTCGTCGTCGTCGTCGTCGTCGTCGACGTCGTCGTCGTCGTCGTCGTCGTCGTCGTCGTCTCGGCGGCGTTGGCGTTGGCGGTGGCGGCGTCGGCGTAGGCGGCGGCGCGGCGGCGCGGCGGCTTCGGCGGTGGTGGCGGCCCCCCATCCCATTTGGGGCGGGGGGTCCTGGGAAACCCAGAGACCCATCACATCTGGGGGGGTAGCCTGTGAATCCTCGACCCGGGATCATATATGGCGGGATTTCGAGACCCTGGATCCGCCCAAACTGCCATGTTTGGGGAGGGCAACTTTTACTTCCGACAACTTCCGCTGGCCTTCCGCCAGCTTCCGCCAGTGGAGCCGCCGCCGTTTGACTTCCGCCGGCTTCCGCGGGCCCTCCGCCGCCTTCGGCCGAAGGAGAGATGCCGCCTTCTCGATCCCTCGAAGAAGCGCTCCTTTCTGGAACGCTGGAGAGCACACCAAACGAACAAAGAAGCAAGCAAGCAACCAAGCAGACGAGCAAACGAGCAAGCACTCAAACAGCACGCTGCAGTGCCTGGACGCGCTCGGGCGTGCTGAAGGCCTCCCCCGACGACAGGTCGGGCGCATCGTGCGCCTGCCCCAGGTACAGGGCGCGCTCCGCGGCGGTGTGGCTCACCCGCACGATCTCCTTACGGAGGGGGGCAGAGGGGAGGGGAGGGGAGGCAAGCGTTGGAGGCCTGGAAATTGGCACCAACACCAGCACAGGGCGTTCGCCTCCACATGGGGAAGATGGCCTTAGATTTCGGTGTTGGTGGTAATATTTCGGTCACCTCGAAGCCAGAATATCCCCACCATCACCGAGATCGGGATCGTCCTCCCTCGGTGGAGGCACACCCGCCGATCTTGGTGCTGGTGTCAACCTCTAGGCCTGCGAGAAGCAGATCACGAAGGGATCTACTCGGCAGCTCTCGGCCTCCGGGGACCCTCGCTGGGCTCTGGGACCGTCAGGGGGAGGACCCGGGGAAGGTAAGGACCGGTCCCGGGGAAGCGGTCCAGAAGACACGGCGTCGGAGGTCCGGGGAGGAGATGGGGGAGGGAGGCAAACTAGGCGCGCTGGCGCCATACCTGACATCCTACCCCTCCCACCCATCGCTTCCCATGGCCCTGACTGTTCTGCATCCGCCAGCGGGTGTCACTGCGGACATGGAACCCCCGCAAGACCCCATCGTGTTGTGCACAATCAGATAATGGGAGCCGTATACAACCGAGGAGGGGGTGGCGGATGACCAAGGAGGGGACCTCTTTCTGCTCCCCTCCTCCTTCACAATTAAACAATATGAATACTACTATCCTCTCTCCCCTGGTGGCGTCCGGGAAATATTCGGCCCCCCTCCGCGTACTGGATTTTTACACACAGGATGCCCAGGAAACGGGATTTCGCTTGGATTTTTTTCCAAATGCTGCTCTCGCTGTTGCGCTGGCCTCATTTTCGGGCTACCGCCCGTTTCGCATCGTGCTCCCGCTGCAGCGCTGGCCACATTTCCGCGCTTCCGTTCGTTCCGAATTGTGCTCCCGCTGCAGCGCAGGCGTCATTACTTCCAGTGCCATGCCACGGCATGGTTTCGGGTCCTTCCAAATAGGCCCCAAAAGCTAGAAAATGGCCTTTGGGAGTGATTACACACTCGGTGTCGACTCGTTGTTTTTTTTTGGCAACAGAAGCCCCCCCCAATTTGGGGCATCGCCACGCCATGCTATGTCTGGCTACGCGTCCTCATTTCCGCGAACCGCGCTTGGGTTTTGGTTCAAAATGCTGCTCTCGCTGTTGCGCTGGCCTCATTGTCGGGCTACCGCTCGTTCCGGCCTCATTTCCGCGCTTCCGCTCGTTCCGAATCGTGCTCCTGCTGCAGCGCTGGCGTCAATATTTCCAGCGCCATGCCACGGCATAGTTTTGGGTCCTTCCAAATAGGCCCCAAAAGCTACAAAATGGCCTCCGAAAAAAACATCGGAAGTGATTACACATTCGGTGTCGATTCGTTGATTTCTTGGGCCGCAGAAGATCCCCCCCGGGGCGTCGCCACGCCATGCTATGTCAGGCTACGCGTCCTCATTTCCGCGCCTCCGCGCTTGGGATTTTTGCAAAATTTTGTTCTCGCTGAAGCGCTGGCCTCATTTTCGGGCTACCGCTCTTTCCGAATCGTGCTCCCGCTGCAGCGCTAGCCTCATTTCCGCGCTTCCGTTCGTTCCGAATTGTGCTCCCATTGCAGCGCAGGCGTCATTACTTCCAGTGCCATGCCACGGCATAGTTTTGGGTCCTTCCAAGTAGGCTCCAAAAGCTAGAAAATGGCCTCCCGAAGAAACCATTGGAGGTGATTACACATTCGGTGTCGATTCGTTGACTTTTTGGGTCGCAGAAGCCCCCCCCATCCCCCTCTCCACTTTGGTGCGTCGCCACGCCATGTTATGTGATGCTACGCGTTCGTATTCAACACCATGCTATGCCATGTCATGCTACGCCATGCTACGACATCCGATTGTGCGAATAGAGAGGAGCTCTACGCCATGGTAAGGGATGGGAGGGAGGGGTAAGACGTCAGATATGACGCCAGCGCACCTAGCTTGCCCCCCACCTCTCCTATCCCCTCGTTCCCCCTCCCCGTCCCCCTCCTCCTCCTCCTCCTCCTCCTCCTCCTCCTCCTCCTCCTCCTCCTCCCTCCTCCTCCTCCTCCTCCTCCTCCTCCTCCTCCTCCTCCTCCTCCTCCTCCTCCTCCTCCTCCAGCTCCTCCTCCTCCTCCTCCTCCCCCTCCATTCCTCTTCCTTATAGAGAACTTCTCCTCTCCCTGTCGCACCCCGAACCAATTTTTGGGTCGGGCGGGGCGCTTCGCCTGAGACCTCCTCACCATTTGTGACTCGGAAGCTGTAAAATTGGTGACATTTTGACGAATTGAAGGCGGGTCGTTTCCAAAATGTGGCTCTCGCCTCAGCGCGGCGCACATTCGTTTGTTTTTTTATCGCTTGTTTTAAACAAGTGGTTTTCAAGATGTAGCTCTCGCCTTAGCGCGGCGCGCGCTCGTTGTAAAAAAAATGCAAGGGTGTCACGGATTGAGGGCGGGTCGTTTTCAAAATGTGGCTCTCGCCTGAGCGCGGCGCACATTCGATGTAAAAAATGCAAGAGTTTCACATATTGCCATCGTCAACGTGCCAGACATGGTGCTTCGGAAGGATTCCAGATTATACGGGTGCAACAGCTATGTTGATTCTCTGTGTTGAAGTCCTAGGAATAACGTTCTGGCACGATTCATTCAGGATCGTCAAGACGCAACAGTCAGGCTGGGGCAGTTCCACCAATGGAGATGAGCCGCTGTGGGGGCCTATGAAGAGGGAGCTTAGAGGGAGGGCGTACTCCGACATCATTCGTGACTCTTGGGTTTGCACTGGTCCTGGCCTCGTCCTCCTCCTGCTTCTCCTCCTCCTCCTCCTCCTCCTCCTCCTCCTCGGGGCCCCCCCCTTCAGGAGAGGGGCGGCGAGGGGAGGCGAGGGGAGTGCAAGAGGGAGGAGCGGGGACCCTCCGATCCTGCAGGCACGAGAAGAGACATTGGTGACCGCCGGCTCTCGCGTTTTCGGCCTCTGGAAGCCGCCTCCCGGCCCCGGGACCGTCAAAGTACAGTCGAACCCAGGACAGAATAACATCCATCCAGAGCACAAGGCCCTCCGCCAGCCAGCACGCACAGATCACCAGGGGTGGCCCTCCCCAGGCGTGCACGAGGACATCCCACAGGCACGAAGGAACGCTGGGGCACACTCCCCGAACCGGCCTCGACCTCACACCTCGGTCCGACTGCAAAGACAGCTCGGGAGAAAGCGCGGCTCGTGCCGCGTAGGGGGCCACATGCGAACTCTACCCCTACCCTCCACGATTTCTGAGGGGCAGGGTGGGGTTCACTTCGTTCAGGAGCTCCCGAGCGAAGTGAACCCCACCCACCCCCCCAGAAATCGTGGGGGATAGGGGTAGGGTTCGCATGTGGCCCCCTACCGCGGCCCAACATGAAGAGCAGCACGGCGCCCGCGGGGTCTTGGAAGGCTGCGTCGCCCGGGGCAGGGCTCGCCTCCACCTCCCCGCCACCTCTTGGCAGGCCTCTCCGTGCCCTCCTCTCTCCCCTCCTCCTCCTCCTCCTCCTCCTCCTCCTCCTCCTCCTCCCCCTCCTCCTCCTCCTCCTCCTCCACCTCCTCCTCCTCCTCCTCCTCCTCCTCCGTCCCTCCTCTCTCCTCCTCCTCCTCCTCCTCCCTCCTCCTCCTCCTCCTCCTCCTCCTCCTCCTCCTCTCCTCCTCCTCCTCCTCCTCCTCCTCCTCCTCCTCCTCCTCCTCCTCCTCCTCCTCCTCCTCCTCCTCCTCCCCTCCTCCACCTCCTCCTCCTCCTCCTCCTCCTCCTCCTCCTCCTCCTCCTCTCCTCCTCCTCCTCCTCCTCCTCCTCCTCCTCCTCCTCCTCCTCCTCCTCCTCCTCCTCCTCCTCCTCCGCCTCCTCCTCCTCCTCCTCCTCCTCCTCCTCCTCCTCCTCCTCCTCCTCCTCCTCCTCCTGGCTCCTGCTTTCGCTCTGGCCCTCCTCTGCCCACTCCTCCACACGAAGGGCGCGAAAGCCGAGCCCGGGAGAGTGGTCGAAGCCCTGGGGGTGGGGGCCGACGTCCCGGATGCAGGGTGGGGCGGGGGCGAGGCGGGAGGGATCGGCAGGGGCCAGAGAATACGGCAGGTCCGTGCCGCGACGACTTCGGCAACGTGATTGGCCTCTGACCCCGCGCGGAGTGCCTCAATCCTGAGCGATCGCGGAACCCCGATCGAGCAGCATCGCTCGACCTGGGCCAGCTCCAAGGCCACCAGTGGCGCTCCACCGACGCCCCGGAAGTCCCGACACCCTGCCTCCAGGGCCGGCCGCTCGTTCCCGCCCGCTGTGGAGGGGCGGGGCCCAGCGAGGGCCCTTTCGAAGACAAAATTTTGCCCCAAACCCCTCCCGTCTATATATATATATATATATATATATATAGAGAGATTTGGCACGACGCGACGGGGCTCCAGGTCCAAATGTCCACAATCGAGCGGCCGAAAGCGGCCAGCGAAACTCTCGCCGAGGATTTGGCACCACCACGCTGCGACCATGACGATGCTCCGACACAACATTGTGTCGGAAACGCGCCCCAAACAAGGCGAAAACAAATTTGAAATCACCGCCTCGGAGGAGGGCGGTTGCTTCTGCAAAAGCATGGCGAAAACAGCGACGCCAAAGTAGGGCGGAAATCGACATCAAAGGAGCGTGCGCGGAAATTCCCGCCCTACTTGCGAAATCGCCCAAGACACGGCGGACCAGAAATCGGGACCAGGCCCTGGTGCCGATGATGCCGGCTTCCGGCTGGACCCCGGGAGGCCACCATGGAGGGGCCCAGCGAAGCACAAACAAGCATGCACGAATCCAGGGATTTCTCCTGTCTTCCCGTGTTTGCCGGGCTCTGGTCTTTCCCCCCCCCACACTTCCCAGGTTTTCCCACCTTTTCTCCTGGGAGTCGACGCCTCCTTTCGGGAGCGGCCAAGAGGGGGGTGTCCAAGAGGGGGGGGGTGCAAATCATGACCGGCGGCGCGTGCGCGGCCCAGCGGGGGGGGCCAGGGGCCTGATGAAACAAGGAGGGGCGCCATGAAGTCTGGGGAGACATCATGGCCCCCGCCATGACATCCACCCCCCCCTAGTCATCGCCCCCCTCTTCTCCGCCCCCGATCCCTGGGTCCGCGGACTCCTGCTCCCCCCTCCCGGCGCCGGGGCTGTGGAGGGAGGAGGGAGGAGGGAGGAGGGAGGAGGAAGGAGGAGGGAGAGGAGGAGGGAGGAGGAGGGAGGAGAGAGGAGGGGAGGAGGAGGAGGAGGGAGGAGGGAGGAGGGAGAGGGGAGGAGGGAGGAGGGAGAGGAGGGAGGAGGGAGGAGGGAGCAGAGCCAAGGGAGGGAGGGGCAGAGCCAAGGGTCCCACTTCGAGGGGCGGGCCCGAGCGGGCGCTCGGCCTGTGGCGTGCACGGGTCGGGGGCCGGCGGCGGGAGGGCCCCCCGAGGCCCGGGCCTCTTCTTGGCACGCTGGGCACCGGTACGGCGAGAGCGGAGGGGCCCGACAGGGAGGAGGGGGGCTGGTCACGTCACGATGCGCGCCAGCGCCGTCTGGGAATGCCTCGGGCGAGCTGATTTGAAGGGGCCCCAGGACACACGACTCTAAGTACACACCAAGGACAGGATTCCCCCTATTCTCCCACGGTTTGTGGGCTCTCGTCTTCCCCCCACTTCCCACAGTTTCCCACCTTTGCCTGGGGGTCGACGATGAATTGCGTCTGTGTGCTCTTCCCCCTCCTGAAAAAGAGCGGGGCGGTGCGTGGACTGAAACTGCAAAAGCCTCGTCGAGAATAGGCCGAGGCGCGGTGCAAGAACCGGAGCGCTCGATAGCTCGGGCACCTGTCAGAGAACGCGTTCTTCAATGCTCCCTGACTCCTGATCCGCCCTACTTTGGGCGATTTCGAAAGTAGGGCGGAAATTTCCGCCCTACTTTTGAGGCCCCTTTGAGCGTCGATTTCCGCCCTTGAGGCTCCTTTGGCATCGATTTCCGACACAATTTTAGGTCGGAAAATCATCCAAAGTACGGCGGATCAGGAGCCAGGGCTGTGAGGGTGCTGCCGGATTTCGGACACCCCTGCGTCTGGGCCGAATACCTCAGGCCGACATCGAAGCAGCGCCGACCACGCGAGCACCGAACAGAGAAACCCTTCAACTTATATGTTTCACGAGTCTTGCGAGCAGCGCGTGCTTGACGCTGTGGAAGACGAAAAGACAACCGGCCCTGCGCGCAGCGTGCTGGGCTGCCCTCGCGCTACCGCATCTCATGCCTTGGAACGCGCGCGCGCCTTGTCGACGGCGCATCCCCTGTGGGGTCTGCCAACCCTCCTCGTGGAAGCTGCCGTCCGAGGGATCAGCAAGCCGGCGGCGCACGTGCGCGCGAAAGAGACACGACGCGGGACTTCCGAGGACTGCAGCAGAGCACCCGCGGCTCGGAGCGGGCCGGAACGGGCCCGTGGAGGCCCGCCGGTGGCATGCACGCTCGGGGCCGGCTGCAGCGGCGGAGCGGGCCGCGGGTACCCTCGGCAGTCCCGGGACGGTCTTGGCGGCGCGCACCCGGGGGGGCGGGGGGGGGGGGGGGGGGGAGGGGGGAGGGCTTCTTGGAAGGAGGCTGCTTCTCAGAAGGCGCCGGCCTCGCATCTATAGATAGGGGCCGCGCCTTCTGAGCAGCAGGGGTGCTTCCAAAAAGCCCTGCCCCCTCCCCCCACCCCCCTCTGCGCGTGTCTGACGGTTGATGGACAAAATCCTGAACCTTGTTGTGTGTTGGCTTTCGGAAAACACCCCCGCGACCCGAATCCAATACTGGCGGGCTGCGCCGCGACGTGTCGATCCGTAGACTAGCCGAAATCCTGCGCCCCGCTGCCGATGTCAACCAACGTTGAATCGGGGGCAGGGGGCGCACTGAACTTTACGCTGGCACCCCGGTCGCGCGGTGCAGGATTTTGCCCATCAACCGATCGTCCTCAAGAAAGTCCCGGATCCTGACCTAGCCACTGCTCTGCGACGATGCCCGACGGCCCTGACATCCGCCGACGTGGTCTTTCAACCCGCGGCCCCCAAAATCCCGACCACTTCCCCGGGGAGCAGCTTCTCGTCCCGGATATCCGTCGTCGATGGCCCCAGGGACCGATGGCGGGCCCCAGAATCCGAACTCGAGGACGAACACCGGGGCGTACAAGACATGCCATCGGAAACCTGGAGCTGCTGCGACGTCTGACGACACTGCCTTCAGGAGGGCGGCGAAAGCGGCCTGCCGGACGGCCTCGGCGATCGAAGGAGCGACCGAGGACACCCGAGGAAGAACATGTGCCCCTTCTGGCCGCGGCCCAGGATGGCACGGGGCGCCGCGGGCAGGGTGTGCGATGGCACGTGCGCGCCGCCGGCTCTGCCAGGCCGGCCTGCGGAGCGGACACGCGCAGCACGCGCTCCCTCTCCCGATGGGGCCTCTCGTGGGTCACGACGGCCGGGGTTTGTCTGCCGCGGTCGGCCTCCTCCTCCTCCTCACCCCTCCTCCTCCTCCTCCTCCTCCTCCTCCTCCTCCTCCTCCTCCTCCTCCTCCCCCTCCCCCTCCTCCTCCTCCTCCTCCTCCTCCTCCTCCTCCTCCTCCTCCTCCTCCTCCTCCTCCTCCTCCTCCAGGGACCTCGCCAGGCCTCGGGACCGTGAGAGAACGACCCTGGACGAAATGACCGGCCCCATGGGCAGGTGGGGCAGCTCTCGAGGGTCGGCTCTGCGAGTTGGGGCCTCCTGAGAGGGGGGGGCATTACGAGGTCCGGGGTCCGGGTCCGAGGTCTGTGGCACACCGAACTCATACACCGACGAGTTTTCCGGCCCTGCACTGGGCCTCGCACAGGACAGCGGATCCTGGTGTGTACGGAATCCTGGTGTATACATTGTTCGCTGTTTCCCTAGGAAAACGGGGGGGATATGATATACACCACACCACCCCGACGTCGTCTGGGACCCTCTAAAAGTCCTGGGATCGAAAAACAGCCCGCCACTGGTAAATGTGTATGCTCCAGTGCCGAGTCTGGTTCGAAATCACAACATCAGGGGGGGTCTGGGCATCCCGAAAGGAGGGAGACCAGGACTGGGGGGAGACAGTAGTACAGCGTGGTGGAGCGATGACGAAGACGTGGCGTTACCGCCACTCGCCCGCTTCCCGCGCGGTCTCCTCCTCCAGCGGGATCTCCGGGAGTTCCGCCGCGTTCTGGCGCGCGTAGCGGTCCAGGAAACGGAGCGACATCTGCGTTAGCACCTTGTCGTTCTCCCAGTTGCTGATGTCAGGGCCTGGAAGAGGAGCGATGAGGGGGAGGAGGTTGGAGAGTCTGGAGAGGAGGAGGAGGAGGAATGGCAGAGGCAGGTGCATTGACCCTGTTTTTGCTCCTGCTCCTCCTCCTGCTCCTGCTCCTGCTCCTGCTCTTCCTCCTCCTCCTCCTCCTCCTCCTCCTCCTCCTCCTCCTCCTCCTCCTCCACCTCCCTCCTCCTCCTCCTCCTCCTCCTCCTCCTCCTCCTCCTCCTCCCCCAGCGCCAGCTCGGATCTGGCCGTCGCCTGGGCGGGGTCAGCGAGCCCGCGCCAGGCGACCCCTGGGCCGCTGCCCTCCCCGCCCGTCCTCTCGTCCGCTCTCCTCGTCTCCACCCCCCGGGCCGCGGAATGGTGGCGCTGCCATGGTGCCCGACGGTGGGGCGCCCGCAGCGCCCTCGCCGGACTGCTGCCGAGCGGCGTGCCCAGGCGGGCCGCGCGCAGGCTCGGGCCGTTCAGGCTTTGCTGCGCGCCTTCAGCGGCATGGAGCACCGCGGCTGCCGCTCCACGCGGCTGGGGGCCGCCCTCCGGGACGCGCTTCTCGTGGCGCAGGCTGGCGACCGGTGCGGAGCACATGCTGACGAAGCCGAGAGCCCCACGGAGGACACCTCCCAGAGGGCAGAAGCTGATGCCGAGGCTGGAGGCACTCTGATCGCCAGCTCGTCCGAGGTTGAAGCCCGTGCAGCGGAGCTGTCAGCTGAGAAGTTCGCCGCCGCAGAGGCCGCGATGGCGGCAGCGCAGGTGGCGGCGCCCACACCCCTCAGCAGCTCGGCGTCGGAGTTCGTCCCGTTCAGCCCGCCGCTCCAGGAGTCGACGGTCGAGGACGGGGGGATCGCAGCTGCGGCGCCTTGGGAGAGGAGCGAAACCCGAGCACGGCTGTTTCGGGATGCTGACCTCCTTCGAGGCGCTGGAGCACAGAGAGGCGCCGTGCCGACTGGCCCACTGATCAACTGGGCAGCCATAGGCGACAGCGGAGCGTTCCCGATTGCATCGTCGGCATCGCCACCCACAGGTGAGTGCCCGCAGTCGTGAAGGGCTGCCCCGCGGCGTTCGGGCGCGGCTCGAATTTCTGGCGGTGGGTCTGGGGCCGTCTCGTCTGGGGCTCGCGGGGTGTCTCGGGGGGTCCCTGGGCCTCGCTGGGCGTTCTGTTCCCGCGGGTGGGGCTACGCCTGGCCGCGACCCCTTCCCTTTCCTCCCTCTCCCCTCGTTTTCCCTCTCTTTCTCCTGGGGTCGCGGGCGGGGATTGCTCCTGTCTGGGTCTGTTCTCGGGCTTCCTCGTCGTGCCGCGGGGTCGGCGCGCAGAGTAGAGCAGTGTCGAATGGAATGTTCGTGCAGCGGAGGGCTCTTCACTCCCACGTGCTGTTTGTATCGTGCCTGTTGGATAGTGCAAGTAGCCTGTCTCGAGCCATGGCTTGAGCGGTGGATTTTATATTTAGTGACGCTTCGCGTCTGTTCCGATTCCGATTCCGATTCCTCCTCCTCCTGCTCTGGCTCATCCGAGGGCGCGGCCGAAAAGAAGAATCCACGATGATCAACCTTAGCTTGAAAGCCGCATCCGAGCCGGGTTGGCCCGAACCCGCGGAAAGAAACGGGAGGATTCCTCGGGCGAAGTCGGAGAAGATGAGCCAGAGGAGACGGCAGCAGAGGCGAGAACGTTAAAGAACACAGCGGCTACACATGGCTCGAGTGAGGAAAAAAACGGGGAACGCACACCACAACGCTCAAGATGAAACGCTGGAAAAGGGGATTAGTGTGAGGTATCTGACATGAAGGATCAAAGAAACGCGGGCAGGGGGACCAGTAATGTAAGTGAGTGTCTGGGCCTCCGCATCCAAGAAACATCCTGGAGCTGGCGCATCGTGGAACGAGCCTGAGAGTTTTCATTACTACAGAACTGAAGCTGTTTGTGGACCTACGCAGAACAACCTAAATCTCGGCCCACTCGATGCCCACAGTCTCATCGTTCGAAGTCGGATACCACTGCGCAAGACGCCGAGAGAGCGTTACTGGAAAAGCATATGGGGAACACGCCTGCGAAGAGATTCAGCGATCACTCTCTGGATGTTCGGCCTCTCCCCGAAAGCTTCGTTTTCGCCCAGGACGCCAAGTGCAGCGCGCAAGGCCTGCCTGCTAGCAACGCCGAAACTGCGGCTCCCAACAAACCCCGCGGCCACCACCCAACGATTTTCAACCAGCGGAACATTCACCCAGCGCACTCGTTACGAAAGTTATTCATCTTGAAAACAGACGACTAGGGCGTCTCCGAGCGGGGCCCCCCTTCCCCCCGTAGACTCCTTGCACGGCAGCCTTCGGCCTGGTTGGGCGGGAAAGCTTTCCGGGGTTCTCCCTGGTGTACAATGAATATGATGTAACCAACTCAGAAAAATCGTCCCCCTCATAGATTCTCAAGGGGGGGGGGTCACTCCCAGCCAGTTCCGCGCAATTCTGAATACCTCCCCTATGGAATCACAAATAAAAACCACTCCCATACGACTTCGCACCACAGCGCCCTGACATGTAAAGTTTCACCGAGATGCAGAAACCGCGAACAGGGATGTGTGTCAACTGATTCCGTTCGGGGAGGGCCGGGAGCGCGACTCTCACTGGCGCAGCTCGCGCCATCACCTCGACGCTCGGGACCCGACGTCCTCCCGACCCCCCCACCCCGAGAAGGAGCTCGCCACGAGGCCAGGGGGGCAGCGTGGAAGCCCCGACCAGGCGGCCAGCAGTGCGCGCTCCTCTCGACGAGAGACCCGATCACGAAGTAGCGCGAGCTGGGCAATTTTTGGTCGGCGAGTCGAGAGCGGGCCTCTTCCGGTTCAGAGCTAGGCGGGGCGCGCGAAGCACCAATTGGGGAGAGAGGGCGCGGGCGGGCGGGGCCTCAGGCGGCCGGAGGGTGCGGAGAACAGGCGGCGCCGAAGAGCTTGCACAGGAAAAGGTACGCCTTGGACAGGAGCCGGGGGCGAAGCCCCGGAGGGAGAGCGAAGTGGTGGACGAACTGAGCAACAGGTCCGCGAGCGAGGACAGCGCGCTGACACTCGAGATACTGGGCGACAGCCGTCGGGGATCAAGCGCGGCCAACCTCGCACCCCCTCCTACACCACTTCTCGATGGGAGCCCTCCAGGCTTCGCGGCGGGCCCCGGTCCCAAAATCAAACCGAAGCACGTCAAGAACGGGACAACTTGGAAGCCCCCCTATTCGGGGATGTCGGCGGCAAGCCATTCATGATATTATTGAATCAGCTATTACGCACAGGGGCCTCCAAAAGGCAATGCAAAATAACCGGAAGCCTTCTGAATCAAACTGGCAAGCCGTTGGCTCAGATCAAACTGGCGCTTCACTCGGCGCAGGTGTGCCAGCCCCTTCAGCGCAGCTCCCGCGTCGTCAGCGCAAGCACGCGCCGCACTCCGCAATCGAGGCTCGAGTGCGTCGCGCACGTCCGTCAAGAAAGCGCGCGACGAAGTCGAGTGGATGAGGCTAGAAGCGGGCCACCCCTGAATGATGCCACAGTTTATCACGAACGCAAAGAAGAGCGCCTTCCCCGCCGCCGCGAGGCACCTCACCAATTTGCAGGCAGCGGTGAAGAGGCGCGGGAAGCCCAAGGCATCGAAGACAAAGGAAAACCCACTCGTGTGCGATCGACGGGAAAGGCCTGACCACCGTCAAAACCGCGCGAGATGGCTTACGAAAAATGGCCGCGTCGCCAGAGTCGGCGTGGAGGCTGAGGATTCTGGCGTAGATGTCCAGCTCTACGACGTTGGCCCCGAAGCTCCTCCCGCCCACGAAGCCCCCGTGGAGCTCGCGGACGAATGCGCGCAGGACCCGGCCGAGCTCCCTGACCGCCAGCCCCGCCAGGATCTTGTTGGAGGTCTTCTTGAGACCCAGAGGCCCAGCTTCGGAACACAGCTGTTCCGCGCCCTGCTTCCGCGCCGCTGGGGGATCAGTACTTTTCCGAGGCCATTGAAGCTCACAAGGGGGGCCGCTGCCCGCCAGGGTCAATAAGAACACCCCAGCGAGAACTCGGGGGGGGCCCGAGGAAGAGATTGCAAGGCAGCAAAGGGAAGCGCACCGGGCCAGGGGCAAAATGGGGAAGACCTTCGAAGTACCCCTGGAGCCCACGAAGAAGAGTCGAGGGGGAGAAGGTCTCGGAGTTCAGCACGAGGCCCACATGCTTCCACAGGGGGCCAGTGATCTGCCTGCGCAGCCGCCAAAGCGCCAGACTTGGCGCAGACCCTACCTGCGACGCAAGCTCCCCGCAGCGCCAGACGCCTGTCAAAGGGGTCCAGCAGGCGACTGCGAACGACAAGGCCTTCAACCCCCGGTCGGAGCTTATCGGAGCTTCACAGGGGATCGAAATTCTGGGCCAGCTTGCATGTGCGCCCGAATCCCTCGCTGCTTACGCCCGGAAATTTGACGGTGAGTCTGGTTGGAGGCCCGCGAAAACTCGGAACCATGCGAGACACTAGCCTGCCCGCCCAGGTGGTCGATCTCTAAGTAGCGCCTAACCAGATGGCGGCACATTCGGACGCGCTGGGCCAAACGAATGCCTCGTCGCCAAACAGCACGACACATAACAAGGAACCTTGTTGCCACGGACTCCGAGCGCTTCCCGACCATGGCACCCCTTGCATATCCGGCAGCCCCCCTGATCATTACCCCATTCAAATTCAGCAGGGGGCCCGGGGACAATTCTGTCATGTCGGTGACCTCAAAAACTTTTACCCGATAACTATCTCGCCCATCTTGCCAAAACATACACACACACACACATATCAAGGAAAAGGCCTCTGTCCAGATGGCATAGAAGGGCTACCAGATGGCTCAATCACTACTGTAGCGGGGCATGGTCGGGGATGCCCTTCTGGAGGAGGACCTCTGGGAACTCCGTCGACACTGAAGAAGATCTGAGTGCAGGCCCAACTGGGAAACGAGACCAGGGAAGGGTCAATGACGTTCAGGGCCCCCATGGGCCCTGTTGCAACGAGTGGGATCGGGTGTGTCTATGTCCTGTCCGAAGATGGGGCCCAGGACGGGGTCTCTCGTGGGCCTCCACTCGCGCGCGGCGATCGTCGGGTCAAGGCACGGGGCAGCTTCCAGAAATCTCGGCTTCCAGAAATCTCGGCAGCCAGATTGAAGCCACCCGCAGACTCCGCAAACCGCGAAGTCGGGAAAAAGAGAAGAGTCGGAGAGACGATCCCGAAGCACAGCAGCAATAAGACGGCGCTCGACGACCAAAGGACCACGCAGCTGCAAATTGAAGTGGCCGATCCAAACCCCGGAAGAGAATTTCACAAACACCTCAGGGCTCGACCAGGAACGATAGTTTGATACGTAATCGCTGGACGGAAGGACGAGAAATACTTGTCGAAGCTCGGCAATACCCCCAACACGACACGAGGAACAGAAAAAGGAAAAGGCCGAGAAGCGAGAACTGGAGTGGTAGGCAAAGTCGCGGAGCTCATGGCACGTGCCTTGCGTATCCTGCAACGCCACGAAGCTGCCTGGCCGCATGAGGAACGAACCCGAGAGAGCTTTGCCGAGCGCTTGTGGGACTTATAATGAAGGACCGCCGCGGTGTTTCACGTCGCGGAAGGCAGACCAACATGTTTGCCCGCTGCGTCACGCCAAGCACCGAATACTGGGTTAAAAGACTCCATTGAGTGTCCGACTGCTGGCAGTAGTTGGCCTTGACCCCACCTGGGACCGTGTCTTTGTCGAGCTGACAGTGCCTGACGCTCTCCATCGCAAACTCGAACCTGTGTAGGACGCCACCGGAGAAGGGCTTGACACGGACCAAATGCGGCCTCCACTGCGTGGACGCCTCTATTGTCGCTGAAATACTTGGGCGAGGGGCAGTACAACTCGAGCTCCCTGCGAACATGGTGATGCCCAGCTCACGTTTGCCTTGTGCCTGAGTTCTGTCGGGCGAGATGAATAGTTCCTGATACTCTCTGCTGTAGCCTCCTGCTCAGACTGCCCGAGGGTGACCCCATTCAATATTGGTTCCGAGCTTCTCGTCGAGGCGGTCCTAGCCCTTCGTGCAAGATTCGGACAGAACAGTCAAAGAGCCTTGAGCTTTTGCGATGGCCTCCACGTCCTACGCCCTAGAAGTGTCGACATGCTTCCCAAGGCCGACCAGATCAGACTCATCCACCGGACTCTCAGCTCTCGCCTTCTTTCCACCGTGGCCACTGACGGCCATACCAGACTGCACACGCGAGGCGGGGCTGGGCGGAGCGTGGGATGCGCGCGGATCCAGTGAAAGAAAGCCGTGGGCTGTATGCCCAAAATGGTGAGAGCCAGCCCTCTGGGCTGCAAACAAGCTGAAAGCCCCGAAGGCTCCGGGGCTTCAACTTCAGCCTAAACGGCTACGGACTCTTCGCTCCTCCTCCTCCTCCTCCTCCTCCTCCTCCTCCTGCTCCAACTCCCCCTCCTCCTCCTCCTCCTCCTCATCCACCTCCTCTTCGTCCTCCATCTCCGCCTTCCCTTCCTCCTCCATCCGTTTCTCTTGTGAAAAACTCCTCCCTGTCACACCCCAAGACGTGTCAGTAGAGCGGGCTGGACGTTTCGCCTGACACTTCCTCACTACTTATGAGCCTAAAGCTTAAACTGTGCAACAGCTTCACGTATG